GCTTTGACGGTTATAGAGCAGTCTTTTTGAAAATCCTTAGTTTTCTAAGCGATTTTCCTTAGTTAATATTTAATTATCAGTCTAAATAAAGTCCTTAGCTTCAAAGATAAGCAAGCAGGACAATAGCCTACAGAATACTTCCATTGAGAGTCAAGTAAGTCCAAAGGGATGTGTCAAACTTGTTCATGCTCCCTTGGAGCAAATGTTTCCAGAAGCACTAAAAAAGGTGCAAAAATTTGGAGACCAGATTACGTGAATTTAACTTTGCAACCACCATACAATGCAGAACACCATTAAAGAGAAGTAGAGGACCATACTCCTCATTCGTAGGTGCCAGAATACTGGCTGCGTGGAATGGGATATGGCATAGCACATTTAACGTATTGTGCCCGACCCCTAATCATCCAAAAGATTTCGAAGGTAGTACCGTTGACAGCAGTAGAAATGTACCCTTCAAAATCAACTACGCTGTCATCACAACCTGTAATGCCAAAAGGGAGCCACAACTCACTGCACTGCCGTTGTATTCCACGAATGACCATAGAAGGCAGCTGGAGGAGACCATTCCTAGTTTTTACCTCGCGGTCAAACGCAGCATACTCCACCCAAACAAGGTTACCTAGTGTTTCCAACGACCACTTCCAAATTGATGCTAAAAGCTTTGTTGTGTGCCCCTATAACAGCACCAAAGCAGATACCTTGGCAGCCCATGCAAGCTTGAGAAATTGAGGAGGGTGATAATGGTCTATACCGAGACTCTGCAACATGAAGCCCATCATATCGCAAGTTCGTGCGAGGCCTCGTTCGTCTCACTAAATACAAAACTCCAAATGGAGCGTTTCGAAAAGCGTCTGGAAAAACCAGACCTACGAGTGCAGACCCATTTGAACAGAAACAAACACCTCCACTCAATGGAGAACACAGGCTCAGCAGCAATGCACAACTCATTTGCCTGACAGACATCCATTTTCAGCTGGGAATACCTTGTCACTGAGATCGCTTTAACGTGCCTCTCAGATTTGATGGAGCGATCCTGCTGGCTTGTTGACACGACTCATTGAACGGATAGTGGGAAGCCAATGATCGGATGGAAGAAGGGACTGTGGAATACCCTGAAGTCCTCTTGCATATCTAGATGATAAAATTTCAATGATTTGGAAGGTATAAGTAGGGGTGGAGGTGGAGATGAAAGAGAAGGTCAGGAATAAAAGGAGATAGGCGCCCAGAATGGGGACAGGTGCCGTGTTTTGGGAATGGATGTT